GATTCCAAAGCTTCCACATCAGTGGAGTGATGAAGACAAGAAGAAGATAGCTATAGACACACGCGCTAGGTCTTTTTTTGACAATGTGATCTCCATCCAATAATCAAGTAGTACAACCTTAAACCATATACTGTATTCAGTGGTGTTTCCCGTCTCGCTCTTTATTCTATAATCTCTAACTCGTGTTTCAAAAGTATGATACTCACAAAAGGAAAAAACCCTTCATAGATATACAATATTATCAAACTCTCCCCTTTGCATAGTGTCTACAGTCTCTCCATGTATGCTTTATGTAGTTATAAGGTATGTTACATTATTATAAATTGCAATAAGGGATGGTTGAATAAATGAGTAATTGACAAAATAAATGAGAGGCTTCAAACATAAATTTAACCAAGAAATGCCCACAGAACCATCTGGAAATAGTTAGTTGGTAAAGGATTCATCACATCAATTGAGAATAAATAAAAATTAGTCATATATATACTTCACGTTTGTTACAACACCATTTTATTAAATATAGAACAAATAAATAAATACCATTTCGGAAGCGAATGAAATAGATAAGAAGAGTAAAACTTGCACACATTCAAAATTAATGGAAGAACAAGGGGAAAAAGCAACATTTTGTACCTCAATTCTAGGGCTTTTTCTGCAAGTTCGTTGCTCAACATAGCATATTTTCTACTTTCTATCTAAGAAATGAACATTCATATGGAGTTCAATGAAGAAAAAATAATACATCTACAGTATCAATGATCTCTTCAGATCTTCATCAGTACCTCAAAAACCTAAAACAAGAAACAAACAAATTAATGTTGAGCTCAAAAATAGAACTTCAATGAAGATTCTAGAAAGAATGGTTTCAATGAACCCTTGAGGGGTTAAACTACCTTATATAGCAACCCATACGACCTTGGAAGGACTTCAAATAGTTCACAAACAAGGCAAATGAAACCCTAAATCAAGAATCTAGAACCAAGATGCAGTAAAGTAAATATCAGAATTGAGATTGAGAAATCGACCAAAACTTATCTGAGCGGGAGCGATGGAGATGATGGATTTGAATTGATCGAATTCAGAGCTTGAATCGCTGTCTCACGATTGATGAGCGATATAGAATAGAATAAGGAGAAGAAAGAAGGATTATAAGTGAACCCTAACCGAATTATATGATCCTGAATCGCAAATCGTCGTATAAGGAGCTTGAATCGTCATCTTGGGAAGATGAATTTATGAACTGGTCTAAGAAGAACGTCTAATAGGAATGATAAGGAGACTGTTCTTGGGAATATGAAGGAGTTGTCTTTAGGAAGGGAGTGGCAATTGGCTTTTAAACTTTTAAGAATTTATGTATTAAAAGGTAGTATAGATGAAGAGGCACATTGGGAGGATGAAAGGCATGTTGGGAGGATGAAGCATTATTAAGTTGTACATAAAGCATAAGTAGTATTTTAATACTTTAAGATTTTGTGCATCATAAGATAGTACCTTATGTATTTAAAGTTGTTTTTAAGACTTTTCTTAAATCTGGTTTATAAGATAGTATAGATATAGGGAAGGGTTCAAATACTCCGATCATCTGGGAACTAACAACCTCGTCGACGGTGGTTATCTAGTCGGCCATTATTAGAGGAAAGAGTTTCACAAGGTTTCAAAAGATAGAAAGTATATAGATTGGAGGAAGAAATCGAACTGGAGTTCAAATCAACGATTAGAGGAAGAAGTTTGCAGAGACATTTGATTCAAGGTTTACTTATCATAACTTTATCACACTTAGAATATGACTCAATCACAGTCTCTCAATTAGAACATTGTTTGATTCGATTAGGATTCGATTATCACAACAAATATGACTACACGTTGTTTGGTTTGATTAGGGTTCACGTATCACACAATTATCACACCAAATATGACTACACATTGTTTGGTTCAATTAGGGTTCACGTAGGATTATCACATGATTATCAGAGCAAATACGACTACACATTGTTTGGTTCGATTAGGGTTCACGTATCACACAATTATCACATCACAATCAATATCGATTATCACATGATTATCAAAGCAAATACGACTACACATTGTTTAGTTCGATTAGGGTTCACGTATCACACAATAATCACATCAAATATGACAACACATTGTTTGGTTCAATTAGGGTTCACCTGTCACACAATTATCATATCCCAATCAATATCGATTATCACACAAGTTGATGATTCATTGGTAAATTGAGTTTCCCATATTTGTGAACACATATTATGCACACCAAGTTGATGATTCATTGGTAAACTGAGTTCACTCTGTGCACATATTTCTCTATATTTGTGAACACTATTTCATTGGGAAAGATGATGATGATTACTGTGAAGATGAAGGCGATCATCCATGTTTCTTCTTCTACAACAACAAATCTCCAATAATCATATAAAAAATATAAAATCATTAATTTAGCTAGAGTCATGGATCTGATTAATTTGTAACAACTCATTAATGA